AACATAGTTGTTAAGAAACGTTAAAGAAAATGCATCATAATAGCCATACCTCCGAGTCCGGATCCACAGTCACCTTCCATTTAGCAACTCCTTTTTCAACTACGCTGACAGTTCGCGCCAAGAAACTTGCCATGCATCCCGTGTATCGCAGGTCACAATCACGCCGTCCACCACCACGAGCTGACTGTGTTGCGCCATGAGTGCACCACATTCGTTTAAACTGTGTGAAAACCGCTCGGGAATGATCTTTGCCCTAGGGCGACTTGATTAAGCAACACAACAAGCAACACACACAAATAACATAGCAAACAACATAGCAAAAATCAACAATGTTAGCAACAGCGCACGCTGTTCATGTGCCAACAGAATACGGACCTGTTGCACTTGGCACGGGTTTCAGAGCTTCGAACGCGATAGTGCAGAAAATTTGCAGCCTCGTAAGAGCGAAGGGCCTCTTGAAAAGTCTCCCAACTGTCAAACGTCCTCACTGGAAGTGGTGGCTTGACGTTTTCGACTACCTGATGTGCCTTCATCATCTTTTCACGACTGTCGTACGTTTTTGTCCGGCGTCGCACAATTTTGCTCTTCGCCGACGCCGTGAAATGAGCCCCAGTTGATCCCAGGCTCTTTGTGCCAGGTTTTGGTCGATTTGGTGAGGGATCTTCGCTTTTGTTCGCCTCAAGACACACTATGACAGATTTGGCGGCTGTAGCGAAGCCGGAAGGCTGTGCTTGCGTTTGGGCGACTTTCTGATATGGGCAGTGGTCGCGGGGCGAGCATCAACAAATGGCGCGTGACATGAGTTCTGTGGTGTTGTAACACATGGAAGAGCAAACATTCAAAAGCAACGTAATAAGCAACAGCAGTAAGTGTTATTCACCAACAAAGAGAAATTGAACGCGGATATATACCTGTATCGACCAAAGCGTTGTTATCACCCGGCTCCGCGGCGGTAGATTTGGCGTCTGCCGCCACGGCCTTTTCGCGCGCAGCCTCATCCTTCTCGCCCGCCGCAACACTGGTGACGTCGTCGTTCTCACCGGCAGCCACATCCTTCTCGCCCGCTGCAACACTGGCGGCGTCGTCGTTCTCACCAGCAGCCACATCCTTCTCGCCCGCCGCAACACTGGTGGCGTCGTCGTTCTCACTGGCAGCCACATCCTTCTCGCCCGTAGCCACGTCCTTCTCGCCCGTAGCCACGTCCTTCTCGCCTGCCGCAACGCTCTTCTCCCCAGAAGCGCTGTCGTTCTCGCCCGCCACAGCGCCCGTATCCTTCCCACCCGGTAGCGCATCGACCTTGCGCGCATCATCGCAGGCTTCGTTCTCCTGGCCCTCCATGTCTGCATCCTCATTTGCGATATCCTCAACCGTAATCAGAGGGTCATCGACGTAGTCTTCGTCGCTACTGAAATCGTGTATAAATTCGCGTCCAGCAAGTAGGTAGTCGACATGCGGTCTTGCCCGTATACAGCGCCCTATACATGATAGAACACAACGTTGTAGATTAGGACAACGTGCTGCAGGCTGCCTGTCACTATGTCCCCCGTGTCTTACCTGTGCTCTGCGCTTCTCGGCGCGCTTGCTGCTTCGGCATCTTGCTTTCCCCCCTTCTTGGAAATGAAAGGTCTGTACAACTCGTACTTATTGAATCTCGTACTTAATAGACACTGTAAAATTTACATTTCCGCTTTTGAGATTTTTAGCGTAATATAATTTGCAATAACTTACCCAGCAACACAAAACGCCATTGTGTTGTTCTAAAAGAGAAATCGTCATGTTGTAGTAATGTTGCGGTACCGACTCTGGAACTGAGCTCGTACAGTCGTGCACCTCGTTTCCGGCCCCGGTATGGCTTAATAACCTGCACAATCTAATGATTGCGCCACATGCATTGCGCAAATGAGTTGCCCATCTCCTTTGGACCAAATAACCTCAATGGTATTCCCCTCCTCGAGGAGGGATGAAACGCCGCACTTCCGCCACGATGTATCAGCTCAATCACTTCACCATACAACAGCCCATTATAACTTTTGTCGCATAACGCCATGGCATCCCGTCCGCCTATTCTACGTTGAATCTCGCCAATAAGCAAACATTGTGCAGGAAGGCAGCCACAGAGCCATCATGGACACTGTCTCAGCTCACTCAGTGGGCCACACAAGAGTTTCAAGCCCACGTAAAGCGCTCCACCCTCCAAGGCATTCTAAAGCGCAATAGGGACTACGAAGACGTCCCGAATGCTCACTCTCTCCGCAAAAGGTTTTGCACGGCTTCGCAGCGCTCGTTCGATGAGTATCTCATGAAGCGGATCGAGGCCTACAAGCGATGGCACGGCAACGCCACCGTCACAGGTGCCATCGTCACCAGCATTGTCTCGCGTGAAGGGATACAGCTACCCAGCGGCACTGAACAAGTCGCGGGTGGCTGTACCGCTTCCAACAGCGCACTGGCTTGTGGTTTTCAATGCGGCATGGCGAGGGTGGTTCTCTAGATACGCGAGCAGTGGATGAAGGCGTAAAGTCCTTGAAGGCTGTCGTAGCCAAGTACCATCCACGAGATGTGTACAATATGGACGAAACTTCGTTCTTTTATCGAAGAAAACCCAAGGGACTCTTACGGTAAATAGAACGGAAAAGGGAAAGAAGCAGAGCAAGGAGAGAATTACTGCGTGCGTAGCGACAAATGCAGATGGGACCGAGCGACTTCCGCTGCACTTTATTGGGAAGTCGAAGGTGCCTCGACCACTGAAGGGCCGCGATGTCTTTGCTGAAATTGGAGCGACGTACACGAACACTTCAAAGGCATGGATGAATACCACCAAGTATTGTGAGTGGCTGGAGCAGCTCAACGAGAGCATGGTGGATCAACAGCGGCATGTACTGTTGCTCGTAGACAACGTGTCGTCTCATAACGACGAGCCTGTTGAGTTAACTAACGTCGTTGTTCACAAGCTTCCTCCCAACACAACCGCCGCCTTGCAGCCAATGGACCAAGGGTTTATTAAAAGTCTCAAGGACCACTACCGTGCTAAGAAGCAGGAGGCCGAGCTGGACATGTTTTACAAAGGCGAGAAGTATACCCCCGTTAATATTTATACAGCGATGAAGTGGTGCTCAGAAGGTTGGCAAGAGGTATTGACAATGACCATACGAAACTGCTGGAATCACACTGGTATTGTGTTGAAGATGGATTTGAGATTTGTACTTAATTAAGGTAATACAAAGTAGTACATTTGGATTCCATCTGTTCCTCTATAAATTTTCGCAGCTCGTAGACTCTATATGGTCCACCCCGCCGAATACGAGGTGCACGACTGTAGAGCCCTAGGGTGGAGAAGGACTAGGATCTTGACGCTGGACCAGCCGCAGCGAGCTGCTCGATAGCCCCACGCCGATCTCTTGAAAATCGACGGTCGTAAGCAAGCTTGGCTGCTCGAGCTTTCTGAAGTCGGCGGGCCTTGAGAGTCGGGTCATGCTGCTCCAGGCAGACTTGGCGACCGACACGCTTTCTGAGGCTATGTGCTGACAGAACTCGACCGCAAACAGGGCAAGCGACTCGCTCGGACATCGTAGATAGATTAATAAACCTATTTACATCGATAACGTTTTGTTGTGTTGCTGCATCGTCTTGTAAAACGTCTTTATATCCTATCTAACCCTCAGCTTCTTATTCCCTACTTACAAGTAGGTTAGTCAATCTGGATCCAACCTACTTGCTATAGTTAATTCCTCAGACCATAATCAACGCCAACATCTACGTTGCACAAACGGCTGATAGCGACGACCGAACTGCACCTGAGAAAAAATCTCACACCTGATAAGAACTATGCTTGATAGTAGTTAGGATTGCGGTCAGCAATAGCACTGATATAGTTATCCAACATCTTATCCATAGTGCGTATTAATACCATCTTGCAGCAATATCCACAGCTCGAGTAGGACTTGATCGAGTTGTAAATTTGGAGAGCAGCAGGTTTCAATCGAGCACATGATCGTCAAGAAATAAGTTCTGTAAGCTCTCTCTTTCAATCTCTATTTTAATTCCACTACTGATACCGGTTCACTAGGTTTTGCATCACGTGAGTAGCTGACCCATCTTAAAGCTGGTTCCTCCAACTGGTTGCGACCTATTACACCAATCAGCTTTGATTTGCCATCTTTGTGACTGTCAAAAACTTGCGGAAGAGTGCCTTCCAGCTGGAGAATGATATCTACCAAGGACGAGGCTCTGACTCGTTCACTACAGTCAAATGTTGAGCCTTGCAGCTGAAACAAGCAAACCACCTGCTTGTTTTCCGTCAACAAGCAAAGCCCAGGTGTGCTGTACGCCAGACATGCGGCTTTGAGTTTCCCACCGACACTTCGAATCACTAGTCAGACAGAGAGCGTCACTTG